GGTTCCAAATGAAATGTGGGACCAAATGGAAGCCATGATAAGAAAAACAAAGGGCTCTTGATCATAGATTCATTAGACAATCAATGATGCTTTCATTGTTGCCACATCAGGGTGGTACTGGTTGTTCAAGAGGCCGATACTATCCACCAGATAAATTAGTATTTATTGAATAAATGTTACTGAAACCATTGTAATATTATTGCATTACCCACTGGATAGCGTTTTAAACAATTTAGCATTCAGGCCTATTATCATTAAAATTCTTGAAATTGTTGTGACTTTCGCTTAGTTTTATTTACTGGTATTCTTTTAGCTCATTTCTTGCTTGTCTTGGAGCATGCTGTATGCATCTTGTGAATTGCTAGTTTATCCTTAATCTTTGTAACTTCTTTTTTAATGCCTCTTAGTAAAGTATTTTTATGTATGTATGTTTGTATGTACATTTACAGTTTTCGGTAGTTTAATGGAGTTACCACATCAAAAGGTAGCATTGTGAACTAGACCTTCATAGAATCTACCTTCATACTTCATAAGGGTAATTGTGTGGAAGACCAAACAACCTTCATATCTAATAAGCGACAATAAAAAACAACAACAACATTCACCCCAAAATCAAGAGTCAGCAGTGATTTTATTTACACAATTACCTAACACACAACAGAACTTACAGAAGAAGCCCAAAAATTTAATAAAAATAACTGCAATGTCAATAATTGGATTACAGCATGTTAACAAATGAATCACTTTTTAATGTGCTTTTATGGTTCAGAAGCAATTCCAGAAATTGGATTTGACTTCAGTCGCTTTGCTTTCTTGACAGAATCTGCTTGCCACTCGGGTGTGAGTGTGCGAGGCTTTTCTGGACCAACTGATAAAGGAAAGAAAAAAGTATTAACTTGTTTCAACAGTGTACTGATAAAACTTGACAATAAAATGTTAGAACCATAAGCAACAGCGAAGATCTCACTATTTCTTGGAAGTACAGACAACTCTTTCTTAGATGGACACCTTTGGGACCAGCAACAAGTGTCTGTCTTAGAGAGATGTCTGCCTCAGAGAGATGTTCAAGGCAAAGATAAGATCTTTAATGTCTGCTGTGTAGATCTGAATAGCAATATTTGCACCACTATTATTATCAGGGAGCTTAGACAAAGGCGCTTGTTGAGCAACTGTCTGCAGATTGCAACCAGAAGAGGACTTTTGCATTTTTGGGCAAATCATCTAAATGAGAGTAAAGCCACTTAGCAATACAAATGTGGTCATGTCAAGGAATTTTAAAGGGAAAAAGCCACAATTCCAGTTGATGTTTGTCAATCAAAAATATCCATTATGATAGGTTTAACTCCGGCCTCTCTTTTTCAACATTCTCATGCGAGTTGGTATAAATGGACTGCCTTGAGGAAATAACACATCTTTACCATAGCCATGTGGCCATCGCATGGAATTTATTGGAAGTGCACTTTCTTGTTCAGGGTAATCCAAGGATGCCTGTTGCCATTGCAACTTAAAGTAAAATATATATGTATGGACTGGTGTCCAGGAGAAAATTTTATGGTCGTCGTATATTATGGTGGTTGTGTTGAGGAGGTGACCATAATGAGGAGGTTTAATGGGGTTAACCTTTGACTGAGATCAATTTGCCACTGAATAAATAAGAAGGAAACTGAGCTGAGTTAACTTTTGCAAAGACTTCTTCGACTGTTACTAAGGACTTGGAAAAAAATTGGCCAAGAGCTGACCAAAGCATCCCCAGTAACAATCTCAGAAGTAAGGAGTGTGACGATTCATATTCCTTGCAACTCGATTTGATTTTGATTATTGCCTTTCAATTTCCATTATTTCGATTTGACTATGTAAATGTCTCTTAACTCTTATAACATAATGTGCAATGTAAACAACATGCAACCATAAACCCTCAATTTGAGAATAGTAAAGGGACAGGAGGATTCACAGTCACTTGGTCATTTGTCTCCACATTTGAGAACCTGACAAAGAGCTTTTCCCACATGGTTTGCCTTATTTGGAAATTCTCAGCGGGTGGTTGAAGGACAATATTTTTACCAGGAAACACAAAAAGGGCGCACGAACTGCAATCGTCTTTGCTCGTCAATCAAAAATGTTTTCAAAGAGTTATGGATTCTGATTTTACAATATAATAACTCATGGACTCACACCAAGGGCACCCTGGAAAAGGTATGCAAAAATCTAACCAAACTCAAAACATGGAAGCAGAGAATTGTGAATCAAACCAAATGGTCATAACTGGGATTAATCGACAGAATTCGATTAATCGTTTACATATCTACCAGAAGTCCTTGCGAAAGCTAACTTGCCCCACTTCTTCTTGTTTTTAAAGTGGCAAGTGCAGACTGCACCTTTCCACAAAATAGATGCAGTGCTGATCGCCCTCCCAGAAAAAAAATATGGATTCAAATTAATGCATCATTTCACTTAACATGCACCTGACCGAGAGGTGCTTGCTCATTTGTTCCTATTTTTCTTACATGAGAAAACAGATATCAGCTTAACAATATAGTTGTACCTCCTGGCTAACAAGGTAACTTACTATACTTCCTGAGGAATGCAAAGAAAACCACAGATACTGCAAGCCCTGCTGATACTAAGCCAACCACTTTCTTTGCATATGGTTCTTGTATTTTAGACTCTGGAATAGTCTTTGCAAACTGGGATCTGTATACTAAATGGTGGAAAAATTGAAGAATAATCAAGGTTGATTCCTGTAACTTCATTTCAGTAAAAAATTTTCACCAAGTATATAAATATATTTTATTTAATTTTCATCAAGTACGTAAATCTATCCTAAATATAATCTATCGCAGGAATCAATAACGTATAAAAACTTACGATCGACTTTTTCCTGCTTTGAAAGCTCACTCCAAGGTCCTTTCTCCTTCGCTTGAAGAGCTTCTAATTCAGACACGTACTCTGGTCTAGTTGTTGGGACCGGCTTATATTGACGAGCAGCCGAAGTTTGAATTTTTCTGCAAGAAAGTCTAGAATAAACCCGTGGTAAAGCACTCATTCGCAGCAAACCCGCCATTGTACAAGTCGCCGATGAGCCAAAATCCAGCAAGATGGCGGACAAGAACCGATATCGCGCCTTGAATTATGGGTAATATCAATTTTTGGGTCATGTAAGAACTCACGTGGGATCCTGCGCATTACAAATAAGGGCAACGGTCAGTTTGCCTGTTTAGAGATGTTCCCTTCCCTCAAGAAAGGGGGCCCTTTCCCGATTTTTTGCTGAGGGGAGGGGGCGTCTGAACACAGCCTAAGGTCAGGTCAGGTGAGGGTTTGTCATCTAACGGGTATGGAGCGTAAACTGTAATCCCCACAAAAAGATATTAGATAATAACAGATGAAAAAGTAGCTAGCCCAAAGACCTGTAAGTTGATTCCCTGGGCTGATTTGATCACTCTACCGCTTGTATTAAATAATGCGTTTTTGGGGTGAGCTAAAAAGCTTAAGAGCTCAAAGTGTTGGTGAGGTCAGTGCGTACTAGTCGCGTGTGCATTTTTCAGGATGTGTGGAAATGAAAGTCAGCCAGGCCTACAACTAGTCGAAAATCTGGCTACGCCCCTGACAACCATTTAGAAACCTTAGAATTTCCATACAAAAACCACTTTTCTGTTTTACCTGTGCGCTGTCATGCCTGAAAATCTATTGAATCTTCTTTCCAAAGTGGATCTCATGTCCACTTGTCTTGACGTACACTTTAAGCGCACTTCGGTCTCTGGTGTGAACCGGCCTAATGTAGGAGGCTAGGTCCATCATTCCAAAACAGAGCTCTATAGGGCAGAGGTCGGGAGACCAAAGACGTGGCCCATAATCTTCTTAGCTCTTCAAATTCCATGGCTTTCCATGATTTTTTCAAGTTTTCCATGACCTCGAGTTTAGCTGTCACTTTCAAAATTTTCCTTATTCTAAGTTTTTTTTTTTACCTTGAACAGTTCAACAGACACAAACTCTGGTGTCCACCAAAATCGGTGCCGTTCACGCTGTTTAATTAATTCTCTCAATCTTACATTGTTCTTGCTTTGTCATCTGCAGTAACAAATCTACCAAACAAAATTTTTAATTTTCCATGACTTTCAACGATCAACAATTAAATTCCATGACTTTCAAGGCCTCGCCTCCGTCGTAGACACTCTAAACCGCTGTACCAATATTCTAGACTATGCGCGGGTCGGCTTCAACCAGTGGCGGATCCAAGGGAGGGGCCAGGGGAGGCCGGCCCTCCCCTTATTTTTGGACCAAACTGAGGCCCGAAGAGCCAAAAAAATTATTTTTAAGAAAAAATTTTCATTTAAGACCGGGTCCCCCCTTATCTCAGGGTCTGGATAAACGCCCCCCCCCCACCACACTTCCCCTTATCTGAAGATTTGGATCCACCACTGTCAACACAGGCTATCGAGGCCTGGAAAGTGAAATGCATGACTTTCCAGGTATTCCATGACCTGTACATTGAGTTGATGCGAAAGCGTTGTCAATTAATAAATGTAGATGTAGATGTACGAACCCTTAAAAGAACGTTTCCGACCAGGGCTCCTGTTCCGACCCATTAACCGTCCCGTGATAGCTTGGAAGCAGACTAAGGCATAATCAAAAGAAAATCCCACTGGCATTGAAAAACTACCACTTTAATCACTGCTGTTTTTTCTTTATCTACTAAACCTCGTTATAAAACTTGTTTTTACAAGCGGCATAAAATTAATTTAAACAACAGGTAACAAATGATATCAAAGTAATAAATAATATACAAAAAACAAATAACTGTTACTTTTTCGCGAAAGCTCATGAAACAAACATTAAATCACTCTTCAATACTTCCAAGGGATATTTAACAACACGATTCGATAACAATGTGGTCTTTGTGTCTTGTTTCCATAAGTAAATACTAGTTTTTATGTACATTATATAAAGTTGTGAATTATCTTTTATAAATTTTAAATTTCTCTGTAAACAGCAAGGCCAAGTTGTTATATTGGCAGCCAGTCATGTGTTGGTATGTCAAGATGAAGCTCCATATCCGGTGTACACCTAAAGAAAGAAAAATCAAAGTTAAAACCATGGGAAACTCGTGAATACCTTGTTTTGAAAATAGAGAATTGACGCAATGAAATAAATAGTTATTTTAACTTCCCCCCCCCCCAAAAAAAAAAAAAAAAATCCAGCTACCGTGTATGGTTTAGCTTGCGTAATCAGTAGCTTCCATATTTTTGTTACTCCGTTTTATTGTTATACTAAGATTGCGGGTTTGTTTTATGGTGTTTTTCGTTGGTAGTACGTTAAGTAAGATATACAGCCGTGCAAAAGCTGAACCGAGGTTTTCTGCCTTTTTTCTCTCGCCCCTTCCCTATCTTTGATCTCACGTTAGCTTTCACGCGGCTGTTCATCTCTACCTTTTAAGAGCACTTCGACAACACTTCGGCAACAACAAAGATATATCGTTTTCATTGCGGGCAGCGGGTTTTCACGAGTCAAAACGTGCGAGCGAGTCACGATGGGTTCAGAAAGTCGTGCGCAAGCCGATAGATCAATCATAATGAACCAAGTGACGCGCGAATTACTGTCAACACAACTTAAAGCTGTTCATCATGTTGTAGTCCGTTATGTCTTGTAACATACTCACTTTTCCCTTTTCCCGAAAACTTCAGGGAATATTTGAGCTTGTGTATTCAATGCTTGGCTGTCTAGCATCTCTCTGCAAAGTTTTTACACAAAGTTATAATGCGTTCAAAGAAATGCATGCTATGATTTCACATAGCAAGTTGACAACCTTGGGTGGAACACGTGCCGTTTACGCTACGTTCACTCACAATACCGAACAGACTTTCGTGCCGGCACGAAAATATGTCCGCTATAAAGAAGTTTCGTTATATCAAGGTTCTTTCCATATGTTTTACTGTTATTAGGGCTAGGAATATCGTTCGTTTTATCGAGGACTTCGTTATATAACGATTCGTTAAATCGAGGTTCCACTGTACCAGAGCAGTCGTTTCGCCCGAAGGCGTTCGCTAGGACTTAAGTCGAATCGCACGATGACAAACAACACTCTACAGAATGGTGAACCCACTTCTCCGGGATGTTATTTTAGGTAACCTTGGATTCCACATGTGCAGGACACGTGCAGTCACTGTTTTTCCATGCTTATTCCTTTTTTTCAGCCTTAAAGAACGACAAATACTTATCGGGCGAATCGACTTAGCCTGGGCGAACTGCTACCGGCCAATCGACCTTCGGGCGAAACGACCTGATACCCATGTTCACACTGTACCCGAGAAAACGGAGATGTTTTTCTCCAGTTAGGTCTACCGTCCACACGTATTCGTTGAAAACGGTCACCGAAAACGCATCTTTTCAAAAACGCTCTCCAGAGTGGAGACTTTGAAAATACCGTTTTGCTGTACACGATTCAAAATCGCAACGTGAGTACGCGGATTTTTTTGAAAAAGGAGAAAAAAATATTCGTTTTCAAACAAAAACGGAAGCGTGTAGACGGGACCCCACTTCAAGGCATGGCTAATCAAGATTATCGCTGTGCGAATGATGGACTATTTTATACAATAGGTAGTCTTATTTTCTGACATGTTTCGAAAAAACTCTCTGAATATACTGAACGGTGGATGCGGAGATCAAACAACCGATAAAAGGATCTCAAAAACAATCTGACATAGCATTCACCTGATTTCAGCCTCTAATTTGGTATTGTTAGCTTCCAGCAACTTTACTTCATTTCGATGAATTTCTACTTCCTATCAAAAAACAATAAATCTTCTCATCTTACATTTAAAATAACGATTATGCGTCGATCGATACGAAACTTTCACATCCCTCCGGGCAAACCCCGGGCATTTGATCATCACTTGTGCTAGGGGAGTCGGGAATCATGCGAATTTGAACAGGCTTCAAATGCCCGGGGGGGTGGGGGGCTAGCCTCCCACGCAGGCGTTTTTAGGGGAGCTCGTTTTTCATCCCTCCCCAAAAACACCCTAAAAAACGCCTGCGTGGGAGGCTAGGCGGGGGGGGGCTTGCCCGGGGGATGTTGACGTTTCATATCGTATCATGTCACAAAATCCGACAAGGAGACCTCTCGCGCTTTTGCGAGTACTTACCTTTTTCATAATCATATTTTGCAAAGCCATTTCTTTAATATCATCCCCCATGGCATTTATTGTATCCTAGAAAAATCGAAAATGGAATATGCAAAGAAATTATGAGGATTACATATCATATAGTCAATGGAGAGATTTAGTATTTCCTTTTAAGGCAAAAGGCCAGCGTCTATCCGTAACAGGCAGCTAACTTTTCCCTTTAACTTTCGTTAGCGGTTTACTGATCATTTTATCTACAAAAAAATTAGTAGCTTCACGCCGTGGTATTATAAAAAAGTTAGGGATTGTATGAAGTTTGGTATCTTTGGGACCAAGATGAGAGGAGGTTCATGTTCATATCAGAGGTATCTGTAGGGATAGGTTCGAATATACTGCTCAGACCGGTAAAATAGGCAAAGTTTTAAAAAAGGTAAAAAAAAGTAAGATTAGTAAAATTGCGAGAATTCTCACCTGTCAAACTTTATTAGTATGACAGAGTGTTAACTAAAAAGCTAAGCATCTTTACAACAACTTGGGATCCATTCCAATTCAACTTTAATTTCTTTCAAGTCCCTCTTCATTTTGAAAAAGAAGAGTAGATCACTTTGAGAACGACAAAATGCCAAATTATCAGAGGGAAGAAAATGTGGAAAAATTGGGTGGGGGGAAGGGGGTAGGAAAACTAGCTCATTGGTGTCACAGTGTGTACAAACTGGTGAGAAATATGTCTTGAAGTGGGCTAAAAATTAGACGAATTGTACCTCAGTCACTCGTGTTGTAATTTCTCTTTGAACACTTTTTCTCTGATGACTAAATTTTTCCCTCTCAGCGTCAACTACAGCCTGTAACTCTTCCAGTTCTTCCTGAGAAAGAAGCAAACTAAAATCATGATCCCAGAGTTATTTTGAAATTAATAATAATAAACATTTTGAAAAAGGCCTTTTTCCTTTTTTCTTTTCCTAACAACAGGGATTAGAGGAGTTTATACGTCAGACACAAATGAATGTGATATTAGCATCATGCAATGTGTTATGTGTCTGGTAAATTATTATCGTTGAATGATACCATCACTGGTTGTCTAGGTAAAGGTGATGTTACATTGTCAATTCGCAGCAACGATTTTTAGCACAACACAGTGTTGCAATGGTGGAACAATGTTGTAACCACTCAAACCAATGTCACAACAATGTTGCAATGCTGTGTTGTGCTAAAAATCGTTGTTGCCAATTAGCCTGCAAGCAAGTTCTCCATTTGGGGGAGTCGCGAGAAGTTATGCAAGAGCAGCACGCGAAAGGAGATGTGAGTGTGAGGGGCACATTCTCTGACTTGCAATTTGCTTTGCTTGCCATAAATGGGGAGCTTGCTAGCAGGCTAGTTGAGAACAGGGTGAAGTGTAGAGACCACACAAACTGTGACCCTCTGGTCCTTCCTCCAGGTTGAGGACTGGACATAGGTCTAACGACCCTGTCACATTTTAAAAAACTGTTACAGAAACCAGAAGAATTAGAAGCCATCATCCCTTTGATTAAAAAAATAGGTGGCAGGTAGACTGTTCACAGTCCCCTATTATTCCGTGAGATTGTGCAGATCAAGTGCTTACTGTTATGGCCAGCCATCTTGATTTCAAATGTACTGAGGAGATGGGCCATAGGTTTATAGTGGTGGGGGGAGGGAGGTGAGAAAAACAGCATCCCTCCAAACTGCCCCCTGCCCCCTTAGTACATTTTATACTCATCCCCAAGTTAGAGTCAATACCAATCCTGACTATCTTCCATGAATGTTCAGAAAAACAGGAAACTGTGAACAGTCTAGCTGGCAGCTATGTACAGCACTAANAATCCTGACTATCTTCCATGAATGTTCAGAAAAACAGGAAACTGTGAACAGTCTAGCTGGCAGCTATGTACAGCACTAACCTTAAAAGCTGATGCTAAAACTTCCTGTTGTCTCTTCAACTTTGCAATCTGAAGTGCTTTGGCAGGATATTCCTTGTCCTGTCAATGAAACGGGAGCAGATGACCGAGCGTTTAGAGCGATGGACTTATAATTTGGAGTCCCTAAGCCTGGAGGGGAGAATACTCCCCAAACAAGTGACGGGGAGCTCATTGGAAAATTTCGACAACACCCCTAAAAGGTACCAGAATCTTGTTTTATAGGCGTGCCCCAAATTCATTTCCAGCCCCTAGGAGGTCCCAATAATCAACAGCAACAATATTATATAACTGACACTCATTTTAGGTTCTAGCACCCTGAGTGGTACCAATCCGCAGATTTAAACGCCTAGAAGGTACGACGAGCACTAACGTCATTTTTATAGGGGGGTTCCCTCCCCCCCCCAAATTCTCATCATATTCACATCGACATGATGCATCAATCAGCAGCTTCTCCTTGGGGGCTTTGTCCAAATGCCCATTCAAACCTCATCCAAACCCCTGGGTATAAGGCAGAGGAATTCTGACAAATGCCCAGCCTCCTGGGTGCAACAATACAGACCAGAGTTCCCTTTAACACACAAATGTACGAAAACCAGCCATTTGCTTTGCTTAGACCCTCATTTAAAGTTTGTTGTATTTCAGTGCAGTTGGCTCCACTTGACCAAGTAGTTGTATTGTGTATATTTTTTTAAACTTTCTTTTAAGGTTTTGAGGGCTGTTATGTTAACTACCGGGTTACCAGTAATAATGTAGTTTACCCTGGGTAAATAAAGTCTCTTTCTTTCTTTTCTTTTTCTTTCTAAGAAAGGAAGAAAAATGTCCGAAGCCTATGGGTGATAGGCTTCTGAGGATGTATGGTTTTTGAGCGCTGTGAGTCCTTGGGATGTACATGAAATTCGGTGACTGGGTACTACCCAGGATTGGACTCCTCAAAAACGAAACTTGGTTAATTCAAGCCCTAAATCTCGTGCGACAAGGGCATGAAGTGAACACCTTAAACAATATCTGGGAATTGTCAATGGGGTATACCGCTGACCAGCAAATCCCCAGGGTCTGCCCCCTGGGTTGCAAGCTCTGTGAACAAAAGCAATATTTTCCCCTACACCCTGGGGCAACAAATAGCTGACAACCTCGACAAATGCCCCTGGATTCCCGTGGGTGGTCCCCAGGGGGAAGCCGCTCATTGATGCATAATATCATTTAGAAATTAATACTGTGAAACAAGCTATTTTTTTAGTTAAAACAACAGATCATTCATTTTTTTCTTCATTTGAATGTTAACAATAGTAATGTTTAAGACAGTATGCTAACGATAGTATGTTTAAGAGCTTAAAAGTCATAAATTATCTTATTTAGATACTTTGTACAAAGAAATAATTCAAATCTCTCGACTTGAAAACCATTTCCCCCCCTTTTGACTTACCTTGTAGTTTAATAAGATATTCATTTCTTCATTTTTCTGCGTTAGTTTTTTATCCATAACATTCAGTTGGAGCTGCAATTCTGAAAAGAAAAATAATATTGAAACCTTAGAGAATTGACATGATGCACATGCATGAACTTAGAAAAAAACCTTCAAAATTAACTTCTTATATAAGCCACAATAAAAGAAATAACTATGCTGTCAGGAAATGCGGGCATTTCCATGAATTATCTTGTTCATATTGTTTTGAATGGTCCAGAAAATCCTTACGTAAATCAAGACACAAAGATTGATTGATTCCAAAGATTGATTGATTGATTGATTGATTCCAAAGGAACTCCCCCCACCCTCTAGGACAGAGCACAGCTTCAAGAATATAGCTGCTAATATTAAATATATGGTACATTTGGGGGTGGGGAAATAAGTCACAGACATGTTACATGTAACTCTTATAGAACATTGTCACATAATGTCACGTCTGCCATATTCATTATTGGTGTCCTGTGATACAGGGGCCCATGTTGTCGTCCCAAATCAATCCTGAGGGAGTTAGACTGTTTTTTCTTATGTAAAAACTTTCTTTTGCTTCAATAGTTTTGCATTGCTGCTGGCCACGTGAGTGAAAAGAATCATGAAAAGGGTATTCAGTTTGTGAGCAAGCTCTGGTAGTAAAAATGTAGTGACAAAATCTGGACTTTTCAGTGATTTGAATTTCTTTTCTACAGGATGAAACTATTTCAAATTAATTTTAATGCACCTGCAATTTCCTTATTGACCAGCATCCTTGTTTCTTCAAGTCTCCTCTTTGTAACAACAAGATCCTCCCCAAACTTTTCATTTAGTGTTGACATGGCACCCTGGAGGCAAGATATACAATATTTGATGAAGGATAGACATTTCCACGGTTTTTTCAACTTTTGACTTGAATCAGTTAGATAAAATCCACTAACATGGCTGGAAAGAACACCTTAAAATAATTAGTAAAGTTGCCAAGTTTGAAAGTGATTTGTTGAAAACTAATGAAGATACAGCTCCGTAAAAATATTTCTCAGATCAGATAGTTAAACATCTAAGTATTGACTTTCGCATGGCATTTTATTGGTTGATTGAGTTCATTTGGTAGCTTCCTATAATTAGTATCGGTAATAATTTTTATGTATATCGAAAAAGTCAAACTGCTGATGATGCTAATTGACCTTCCATTTTCATAAGTTATCTTAAAAATAATCCGATATTGTTTCAGAAGAAACAGCTATTTGGATTTCCAAAATTTAGAGAAAGAAAGGACTGTATCTAAGTTTATAGATACAGAAAAAAAAATTGTGATGTGTTCACCTACTCCATAAAACGGGCGCATGAAATTAGGAAGTTTCATGTCGTAGTCGCGCAACTATGGCTGCGCGATGCACATTGTTTTTCTAATTTTTTGTTTTCTTGTTGCTGTTGCATAGTTGCTTAAGCTTCCTTTGTTGTGATCTAGAGAGTTTGCTACCATTGGTAATGTGACATCATGTCTTTAACCCAGATATTCTAGTCTGAAATCAAATACTGCTGAGCATTCAAGCAGGCAAAAAAAGAGGCATTGCTGGAAACGTCAACAAATATACTTACTCTAAATCTTTCATATTTTTGAAGCAATGTTTTAACATCTCCATGCTGTAACATAAAATATATATTGTAGGTAAGTTTTAACACTAGGAAGCTTTAACTAAATGTAGGTAACTTGTTATTGTATAAGTTTATAGTGTAAAGTATGGTCATTTTAGAAAAATAAATTTATACTTAATTTTTTGACTGCTTTGTTCTAATTATCATTTAAACTTCTTTCAATTTGGTTTAAATTTCCCTTATTGATTTTCCTTGAAGAAAGATTCAGGGCTGTCAAAAAGTAGCCAGGGATTGTACATTTTCTAACCAGAACTAAGCTTTTTAATAATTAACGAAGCAGAATACCAGGGCAGTGGGCCCGGTTCCTGAAAGGCCAATTAGCACTATCCAGGATTAAGATATTCTTGCTTCACTTTTGTTATTTAATTTCCTATACATTGCTTAGAGAAACATTTTGGGTAAATCATTGTGTCTCAGAGTAGAGGCTCAACAGTATTTTGTAAGCTTGAGTTACATGCTTTAAGCAAGAAAACTGTGCTTAAAATTTTGCTTAATCCTGGGTTAAAATTTACCATCTTCCCAGGAACCAGGGCCTGGACATTAAATTAAAAGAAATGGGCATTAATTATGTTCCTTGAATGCCACAATCATACACCTAAGATTTACATAAGTCTTCAATCCAGGAATTTATTTAGCAATCATGTTTTACATCCTTTTTAAACTTACAATCTGATTTTCAGAAGATTCCATTTGATCAACCACTTTCATGTTCTCTAACAGTCTATTTTCACAGCCAAGGACTCGCGCATAAACAGTGCTTATGTCAGCAATTGACACAAACAGTTCAAACGTGTGTCGTTTGTGCAAAGAAATAATATTAGTTACATGTCTACATGCACATAATTGTGTTAAGTTCTATGATGGTATCAGAAAACTTAACTTAAGTTTACATTTCTTTGACTTGCACAAGGGTGAACATCAATATGACGTAGCATTCTTAAAGAGAGATTTTTGCAATCATACTCCATGATCAGTTTGGATGGGTTATAAAATCAGATTATTTCTGATACAGTTACACTGTTCCAGGATGTATGTGTGTGTGCATTTGGGGGGGGGTTTATCCCCCTATTTTGCCTTAATGGGTCTGTGCCACAGAACAGGGTGTGAATTTTAGAGTCTTGACTCTTAAACAGGGTATATAATAATAATAATAATATTATTATTATTTCACTATTTAGTGTCTTGAATAGGGTGTCTTCTTGGAATATAGAAGCCTTTAAAAGAGTATAGTCTATATGCCCGGTGCCTACTTTGGAGATTTGTTCGCCTCCAAGAACAGTGCTCTCCAACAAAAGTCACGATAAAGTAGATTTCCACGTTTTATTCCAATATAAACCACGATCTCTTAGTTTTTACAACAAACATGTTCGCTTCCACTCAACTCTCTTTCTATCTCAATTGTCCTTTTTCTTTTTTAACCCGCATCCGATCAGTTACACAAGGATTGATTTAAGAAAAAACCGCCTAGTCGTTCGTGATTGGTTCGATTAATCACTAGGTTTATCTCCGGAAATGTCTGCGGAAATTACTAATAGATAAACAGCTTAATGATATCACGCAAAATAACAGAGGTCAATTACTCTCATTTTTTGTCAACTATTGTCAACATAACATAACTCTTAGACAATGCAAAGCTTACCGACACTACAATGTTTTCTTTTTTCAAATAAAACTAATTCCATGATGTTAGTTTAAAAATAATAATACCTGGTAATTAATTTTGTGTGCAAAAGGAGATGACTCAGGGAAATGAAATTAGGTCTCTTGCCCTAGCTGAAAAAAATGAAAGATTGTTGTCTTAAAAAGGGTCAGGATTTGAGAGCCTCAGTGTCATACCTCCACCAAAGCTTCTCTTGAGTGCCCCCACCCTTCGGGCACTCACTGTAATATTACTTTTTAATATCACACAGAAAGGATACAGTTCTCTCTTCCTGTTTTCATATTCTGCTATGGACTTCTGTCTTGTTTTTATCTGAATCTGATGTAGAAAAAATTCAATACTATTTTTGTTAAGACAAAAGTCACTTTATAATGCTGTTATAGAAGGCTGTTGCTTTACGAGTCTACTTTAATATGTAGATTTACCCAAGGCTTAAAGTAAAGCTTCCATTTATAAATTTAGAATTCACTTCAAACAGCGAACTTGTAACCACTGCAAAGAAATCCACTTGGAGTTTGGCCTGCGATCAGTTAAAAACTAGGAACTAGTCAGGGAATAACTTCAAAAAACCACGTAACCTTGATGGTTTGATACCTGAGCCAGTGATATCTTCACGTGAAACTGGGTCAGCGGATACCCTGTTTTGACAGCTTTCAATTAACCACAACATGGATGTGCAGTATCAGGTTGCAGGCTCCAACACTAGCTAAAAAGTGTAAAATTTCACATTGGTAGCCGTGGTGTGAACTGATGGGTGGACATCACCTGGTCCCTGTACGGCATCTTTCCAGGCCCTCTGGGTCAATGCATTTTGGTGACATATTTTGTCCAGTCGCTCCCAGCAGTCAGTAAAAACAATATATTTGACTAGAAATCACAGCTTGCTTTATTCCGGTTTTGACAAGTATGTGCACTGCACTATTGTAGTGTTGAATTTCTGCTTCAGTGTGCTGGCACGTCTTCCTTAAGGCTAGTTTTCACTAGCGATGGAGTCGTAAGCGCAGTCGTAAGAGCGCTTATGACCCAGTGAAAATCAAAAAATCGGAATCGTAAGCGGAGTCATAGGCACGACAGAATCCGAGTCAGAAGAATCACAACGTTTCCCTTTCTTCCAACTCCACTTACGACTCTGTAGCTTACATTCCGCTTATGATCTAGTGAAAACCAGATTGTCAGAGTCGGAAGCACAAGCGGAAGGATAAACCAATCACAAAGCACATTCCCATGCTTTGTGATTAGTTTGGTTCTTTTGCTTCTGCTTCCGACTCCGACAACCTGGTTTTCACTAGATCATAAGTGGAGCGTAAGCGACGGAGTTGTAAGCGGAATCAGAATACTGTTTTCACTAGATCATAAGCTCTACTCTTCTGATTGCGACTCTGACGCCAACTCCGTCGCTAGTGATTAACAGCCTTTATCTGGTAATTGCAGTATTGAATTTTTGGTAATTGTAATTTACTAAATTTTTAACCCACTGTAACTAATATCTTTGCTTTTAACCAGATAATTTGTAGTGAAGACCCCACAATAACGAACAATTTTTTTGGTACTGTGGCACTTCGTTATGGCGGGGTTCCACTGTACTAGTTTTCTACTGATTTGCAGGCTGGAAAGGGTGGTGGGGGTGGAATAAAACATAATTATTAATAAATTGGTTTACTAAGTTTCATCTGAGACGAAGCAGAGGACCTGAACTTAAGATGCCATTACCTTTAATATCGCTAATAAATTCTGCTTCCTTTTCTCCTCAGCATCGTCCACTTGAGGCGGTTTCTTTGTCCATGGGTGATTACAAACCGTTGAACAAGCCGTACTTGTAGCAGCACTGAAAGGCCGAACTGGCATCTTCATACTTTCTTCCCTTGCAAAAGCAGGACCACTTCCAACGGACGCTGTAGTCAGTCCAGATAAAGGGCGACTAGAGCTTCTCTTCTTACCTGTGGATTCCCTGGGAAATTTTGACAAATTTGTCCGTTGCCATGGCTTGTAGTCACCGAAATTGACAGCAATTTTTCCTTCCAAAGTTCGTAGAAGAGGGTCGTTTTTGAATTGATCCTTTGTGTTCAGTCTTTGAGCTGCTTGCTTTCCCCATCCACGAGAGCTTGAGAGTGAAATTTGTTCCGTTCTTTGGTAGCTACTCGTGGCAGAGCGATCAGAACGATGCGACAAAAATCCGTCAGTCGCCATTTTGTTGACCGAACGTCACAAATGAAGGCGAGAAATTGTGTGGATGTTACACGACGTAGTCATCGTATCTTAGGGGTTCGTGACGCGTTGGCAGGAACGCGTGACGAACCCCCAAGAACGTCTGAGTGGGAGGCCATATCATGCTTATCATGCTCCAATCACGCGCCCATCTGCTCCCATTGAAAGGTGATGGAAAACATGGGTGCTAGTGTAACAGCTTTTGGTACTGTTTTCCTTCTCATTTGCTGCTTGCAAAGTGTGCAATGCAAACCACCGCATATTGTGTTTATTCTAGCAGATGACTATGGTTTTAACGACGTAGGCTATCACAATCCGCGTTTCAAAACACCAGTCCTCGACAGCTTAGCAGCCGATGGCGTGCGACTGGAAAATTATTACGTGCAACCAATTTGTACCCCGACCAGAAGTCAGCTGTTTTCGGGAAGATATCAGATCCACACTGGTTTGCAGCACGGAATAATTTGGCCTTCTCAGGCGAATGCAGTACCCAAGAATGACACCATTATTGCCGAAAAGATGAAAGAGAGTGGTTATAGCACCCATATGGTTGGCAAATGGCATATTGGATTTTATAAAAGAGAGTTCATTCCAACTGAGCGAGGCTTTGATTCGTTCTTTGGTTATTTGACCGGAGGAGAAGATTACTACACGCACAAAAATAGCGAAGGATATCCCGGGAAAAAGCATTTTGTGAATCTTAATGGTTATGACCTTAGAAGAAATGAAGAAGTTGCTAGAGATGCTGCTGGGAAGTATTCCACATTTTTGTTTACAGATGAAGCAGTGGAGATTATATCTGCTCATAATGCTAGTAAACCTTTATTTTTGTTTGTGGCTTACCAAGCAGTTCATAGCCCGATGGAGGTCCCTGAACAATACACAGAACAGTACAAAAATATAACTGACTCTAATCGCCGCACTTATGCTGGTATGGTCTCATGCATGGATGAAGGTATTGGCAACATAACTAAAGCCCTGCAAAAGTATGGTTTGTGGGATGACACAGTGCTCTTTTTCAGTACAGATAATGGTGGGCAGATTTATGCTGGCGGCAATAACTATCCTTTACGCGGCTGGAAAGGATCGCTTTGGGAGGGTGGAATGAGAGGGGTGGGACTTGTCTACAGTAAATTATTATCTAAAACAGGTCAGGTGAGCTCAGAATTGATCCATGTTACTGACTGGTACCCAACGATTGTTCATTTAGCTGGTGGTTCAGTTGCTGGCATGCCTCTTGATGGTTACAATGTTTGGGACACTTTGAGCAACGGTGCACCATCACCGAGGAAGGAGATCCTGCATAATATTGACCCCATGGATACTGACTGGAACACTGACCATGGTCACTACAAATTCTGCCGACAAGCTGCCATACGAGTAGGTGACTGGAAACTCTTGACTGGTTGTCCAGGCAATGGAAGTTGGGTTCCTCCTCCTGAAAGTTTCAACCCAATTGTTGATATTTCACCAAATCTACAAGACAACATCAACAGCACATTTCTGTTCAACATACGTGAAGATCCGGAAGAGAGAAATGAACTGTCTGGGATATATCCAGATATGGTGTCTTCTTTGATTCAAAGGCTCAAGGATTATAATGCTACTGCAGTTCCTGTGCGTTACCCAGACCCAGATCCTGCATCAAATCCTGAGCTGTATGGAAATGTCTGGACACCTTGGGTCCAAGATGACTAAAACAATAATATACCAGTATTAAATAAGCAATCCCACAGACTGAAATGGTGTGACTATAAATATCTAAATTGAATGAAGACGGTCCCCAAGGGATCCTTCATTTTTGCTCGCATGACAGAATTAGCCTTAAAAATAAAAATATCCAAGGAATTTTCTTTTGAAATTAAGTATCAGGTTTTTTATATATTCAATTCAGAGAGAACAGATGGCAAAATTTTGTTACTCGAAATATCGAAAAGTCATAACTGTTAATCAGTAGAATGCCTAAAATGTGTGCAATTCCACAATAATATTGGTGTTGGCTCCATTAAATCCTATACCAATGTAGAACATTTTTATAGGAGCCACCCACAAATTATGTAAGCACAGTTACTGAATGTGGTTAAATGTAATTTAAGCTAAGTTAAAAGTGAAACCATACTAGTTAGCGACCTCCCCTATCATGGGCATACAGAGTGGTCAGGGGTCTGCAGGGGGTTGCATGATTTTACAGCTCTGCTTTTGAGGTCAACTCATTCTCAAGTGCGCCTTGCCTGTTTCGGTTAACTCCCTGCCCTCCCTCCCTCCCTGTGGTAAGTATGAGGTAAGTATCATTGTTCCACTGTTTCAGTGTGGCGGTGTCTGGTGGTTGCTGCTCTCCGGGTTGTCATGGTTACCCTGCTCGCTTGGCTCTTGTGCTTGTGGCTCCACCATCTTTCCTGGCACCTTTCACAGGCTCATGTATTGTTGATGAGTTTAACAAGGTATATGAATAGGAAAACAACCCTAAGAAAATGTAATAAACTAAATGCACACCTCAAAGACACAACAGAGCACTCGCATATAATTCTAAATAACATGAGGGCACACAACCTACACTAGCTGAAAGGATAATAAGAGGATTAAGTTAACAAAGGATATGGCAGCACCATTTAGCCATTGATGGCTAGTCTCATATCCTGCAGTGTAGTTCGATTCTTGTTGATGATAACCCCGTGGCGCTTGAAGAATTTATTTAAGGATTTGACAAGTAGATTGGATTTAAAGCCTTGTTGATTTAGACGCAAAGAAAGTCGGCAAAGTCTATTAACAAAGTCCATTTTTGACATGCAAATCCTAGCATGTATATCTCACCAGTTGAAATATATAAACACCATAGGCCAGTTTGGTGGGGATGTTGCTGTCCGTATGTGGAAAATTCACGATCTGGCATGCAAAGTCATCTTTTTTATTGTAGGTGCTTACATGGAAAGGTAAGTTGTTGTCACCAAGCTTGATCCTTGCATCAAGGTAACACGTTTAGTTCCAATATAATACATAAAATTGCCTGTGTAGGGATTTTGTAATGTTTTTATACTTTTTATCAACATTTTTGAAACTAGTTTTTATTACACTCATTATTAACTAAGGAATTTAAGGGTCAAATATGAAACGTACTTGCGATGTACACTCTATATGGACATCATTTTTGTCTAACAAAGTACATCATAATTGTCTCTTAGACGAACCTGTTTGTAGATGTGATAATTAACCTATATTTTGTACATTAATAATATTATTCGAAGTATACGATATTTACCAGACTCAATTCTCAGATCACTGGGATTGCCTGATCTTAGTAAATGACGAACATTTTGTACCCTGCAAGGAAGCTCCATTTCAAGTTGTAAGCAACATGAGCGGTGAGAGAATGCATGATCCGAGAGTGACAGAGTCATGGCGGGCTGTTGCATCTCTTTTTGCATGCTCATGATATCCATTCAAGAGAGCTTGCTTAGATGGCTATTAACTTTGCAACTGCACTAAATGTATTTTTAAAAATAACCAATAAAACATTTTTTTCCGTTTTAATGAATAATGCCTCTTTCTCTTTACAGCTGGTTTTGTGTAAAAAAACCTGCATTGCAGACGTAATCTGATCTCAGCAAGAAGCACAAAGATCTCTGGTTCACAGCAGTCTGTCTGTGAACAAGACAACCATCCCCCCCCCACCTCCCAAGATACCAAGAGGGAGTGCTGTAGGAATTTTTGCGTGGAGATGTGTCACCAGGACCCTGGAACCCTTAGTGTGCAGCAAAACCTAGTTTAGCTGAATTTTTCTTTGCTTTACTGGACCAAACTCTTAAAATCCCTCCTTATCCTTATGGAGTCCCTGTATTACAGAAAATATTGAGGTTGATGCTTTCTTTTGCTATTAACTAGATGTTGGGTAAATTCTAATTTGCTGATTTTGTTTTTCGAGTGTCCATTCAAGTTTCCCCCGCCTAGACTAACTCTTCGACCAATTGAGCAGTTGCATGGCAAATGATACCCTATTCTATACCCAAACTTTCTTACTTCTTTCAGTTGTATTTATTTATTAAAGACCCTGAAAAAGAATGGCCTTGCCTTTCAAAATATTGGTAACAAAAAATGTATATTCCTGACCCCCAAATCAACCTTGCTTCTTTTGCTTGAAAACCATACCCTTCACAATGGTACATAGCTTTATAGCCCACAAAAGAAGAACAGGCTACCGTTTTTCAGATGTTCATCTTCGACCGGAAACACCCCAAAAGCCACAGCTTTCAACCGGATGTTCCCTGTTTATTTCCGGTATCAAAGGGGGTTGCAAAGTATGCTGGGTAATAGAATTTCCCTAATGTGTTTTCCACAGTCCAGTAGTCACAGCCAGCATACACTATCTTTGCGCCAGAATGAGTGAGAAAACATGGCGATTTACTTGAATTCTTTGTTCCAATATGGGCTCTTATATTCAGGTTAAGAACGAGAACAGCCTGGAAGATTTAAAAGCATCAGAAACAATGTCCACCGTGATCTCTTCGGGCAAAGCTTCGTCGCTTTCAGTACCGGACGTTTTGAAGCAATTTCATACGGATCCTGTTCGCGGCTTGAGCTATGATGAGGTTGAAAGACGGCGCAAATTTCACGGTTTAAATGAATTCGATGTTGTCGAGGATGTTCCTCTTTGGAGAAAATATATCGAACAGGTACAGCTTGGAGTTTTATTTACTTAACCTATCGTATTTTATATCAGTGCTGGTAGACACAGTCACTGGCAGAAATTTTTCGTTCAGCTGGACTTATGATTTTATAAACTGTTTTGGCCTGTTGTACGTACTATACTTTTAAGTTTACTTATTCATCAGCCTTTTCCGTTGCATTGATTTAAAATGCATAATTTCTAGGGCCGGTCAAACACTTCCTAACTCGAATTTACCTGTTCCCCAAAATAGAAAAATGCCCTCATGCATTAATAACTTTCACGAGAAAATCTAACATTACATCGCGTAATTATCTGAGTT